AGGGCAATGAATGTACAAATGTGCTTTACACAATTGATGTATGTATGGATTGTGATAAGAGTCGTATGAGCCCCTAATAAAACGATTAAAAAAAGTATCTTTTGTAAAGACTGCACATAACGTTAGTGACAAAACAGAAAATCTTGGTTGCCCACCCCACCCCACCCCACTGTGTTACTGGGACCCAAATAGAAGCAGGCTTGGGGAGGAAAGCTAGTAGGTGGTTGTGACACGATAACCAGGTCATTTACTCTGTCCTCAGCTTGACAGACTCCCACCAAGCCTTGGAGAAAGGTCCTGAACCAGCTTCTGTTCACATCCACACACACCCCCTACCCCCGCCAGTGGTCTATGCAAGCTGACCCAGCTGGGCCCCCAAGGAATTTAGGGGCAGGACGGGCTTCTTCTCAATCAGGACGGGCAGATGAGAAAGGCTCAAGGAGTGGAAGGCACTTCTTGGACGCTGGACACCATGCCACTCGCCCCTACTGCTAGCCAGGACAGGTGGAGGGCAAGGGTCCCCAGTTCACCCCTCTGAGCCGGTGGGACGCTCAGGGCCCAAGGCTGCCGCTGTAAGCGAAGCCGAGACCACAGCGGAACCCCGCCTCGCGCGCCACGTCGGGAGGGGCGTTGAACAGGTAAACGCTGGCCCCGCCCCTCTTCCGGCCTCGAGGGGTGGAGTCAGCACACCCACTCGACGCGCAGCTCTGGAGAACAAAGCCGCCGCCCTGGGCTTCTCCCTTCGGGTCAAACCAGTCATGTGAACAACACAGCCAATCAGGTGGTCGAGAAGCCCCGGGACTGGCCAGCCAATCAGGACGCCCTCCTGCAGGTCCTGGGACTGGTCGGGCCGTGGCGCCGATCGTGGGCTGTCGCTCCCGCGGACCCCGGCTCCCCGCCCAGGTCCTTCTTTCCAGGTATCAGTGCCCTGTGCGCCCGGGTTCTGGGTTTCGGGCCGCGGGGCGGAGCGTCGGTTGCTGTAGGATCAGTGTGGCTGGAGGCCTGTGGTGTCCCCCTGTGGAAGGACGGGAGGAGAAGGCTGGGTGGTCCGCGGGTCATGGGCGGTGGACTGGAGGGGCGCGCCGGGGCCAGACACCGGTTGTGAGGTGGGGCGTGACTGCGTGTCAGAGGGACACTCCTTCGTTTCGCGAGCACTAACACCCAAGGGTCGGCTGTTCAAAACCACCGGCTGCGGCCACGGAGAACGGGGAGGCTGCCCACGGCAGTGCGTTTAGTGTTTGGTGGTATGGATGCACAGGGGGCGGGAAAGTGCTTAAACATTAAAATGGGACAGCCGTTCAAAAGGGAGAAGCCGCTGTAGAGGGTGGCTGCATCCCTGTAGGGGTGTCTCCGCCCCCAGAGAGGATGGCTCGGACACCAGAGAGGGTGATGGTCCCAGGTCGCAGAAGATTCTTCTGGTCCTGACTCTGGGATCAATGCCGGTGGGCTGGCACCTGGACTGTGACAAGACTGGCATTAGGTAAGAAGGGACAGAGGGTGGAGGTCTGGAAGAAGATGGCAGGCCCTATGGGGAGCCAGTGAGCTCTGCCAGGTGGGGCTGGGTCCACCTTTGGTTGCTGGGAGTGAGTAGTGCCAGAGGAGTGTGGACAGGTGTCGGCTCTCAGGGCCTCCCACCCAGGTGATGACACAGGGAAACCCCAGCTCCCACTGCACCTCATTCTATGGATGTCAGTGCTCACCTGCTGAGGAGCCCCGGGCAGTTGCACCTGCACGCTGCTTCTCTACCAAATCCAGACTTCTTTGTCCTCTCAGGGCCTGTCCCCTTGCCCCACCGGCCTGTGGGCATGGGGTGGGGGTTGGGACAGTGAATTCAGGGTGTGCTTTCCCCCTGGACTTGCTGGGCAGTGGAGGTCATTAAAATGGCCTCCTGAGGGTGGTGTGGGGAAGGACAGTGACTTTCCTACGAACTTTCCTGACAAGAGGGAGTGGCATTTTGCTGGCAGCCTTTGTCTGGTGTCATCAAGAAGTGGGCATGGGCCATGGAAGGTGGGGACGGGGCGGGGGGGGGGGGGAAAGAGAGGGTGTGGGCTGTTGGTGGAGCAGGCCATAGAGAAAGGTCAGAAGGTTCTCCTGTTCCAGGATTCTTGGTGCTCTTGTCCCTAGGATGCCAGTTCCCCGACCCCATTCCTGAGCCCAGCATATAGATGGGCATCAGCATCCCAGGCATGACCTGCCCCCGCACATGGCCCTGCCTCTCGGGTGGAGGGTGATGGCAGAGCTGTGCTCGGGCAACCTTCCTTTCTCTGGGTGGCATGTGGTTGTGTCTGTGTGTCCACTCACACCTGGAGCCAGCAGACCTCTAAACATGCCTGTTTCCAAACCCACAGGAGCCTTCTGCTGATGTGCTGTTTGGGGCAAAAGCGTTGGTCTGGGGTGGATGACCATCTAGCCACTTGTGACTGTGCAGGACAGTAGCCTGGCCCCATCCTGAGGCCTCCTCTAGGGAAGGTTGTGGAGGGGTGAGCAAAAGGGCAAAGACCGTGGGGGCCACAGTGGGACAAGGCTAGGTGGGCTCCAAAGGGAATGGGTGGAGAACCTGTGCTTGCTCGCTGAACACAGAATCTTGGCGCTCAGCTGGTTCCAACAAGTCCTGTGGCCCATGATCAGGACTGCGTGCTCAGGGTCACTCGGTTCATGGTCTTTTCAGGAAAGCTGGTGAGGCCAGTGTGATGAGGTCAGCAGTCAGCACTTGGAGTTCCTTGCAGGCATGTGACTGGTGTAGCTCTCCCCACCTGCCTGCTGCGTGGCCACCAGCCTGGGCCCTCAGAGAGGGGGGGTGCCCTAGAGCATGGACCTCATTGCTCATGTGGAGGGTCTCCTACCAGGACAATCCTTTCAATGGCCTTCGACAGAGACAAGGATCGGGGTAAACATGAAACGAAGCTTCAAAGGGGCAGCCTGATGGAGCAGAGGGAGGCATGCGGGGGGCCGTGCGGCAGCCCAGATGTCCCTGAAGGCCCAGTCCAGTGAGGTCAGGCCGCTCCCCAGCCTGCCCCTTCCCCTCAGAGGAGCCCTGTGTGTTCTCGGACAGCTGATCTGACATTGCAGTTGGCTCCAGACTCCGCAGTTCTCACACAGCCGGACTTCCTGCGTCAGTGTCTCTGGGTGGAGTGAGTTCTGGACATTTCGGGACACGGGAGCTGGCATGCCAGCCCAGGGCAACTAGCCAGACACAGAGGCCCACATGCAGGAGTGCACCATGCCCTGCCCTGCCCGGCTGGCTTATGACTCACTCTGCATGGTCAGATTGCTCAGCGTTCACCTCTCTCAGCCACCTTCTTCTTTCATTGTGTGATGACTGAAGACCCCTTCCAAAGGGCAGGCCCAGGGCCTTTTCCTGGTGTTCGCCCACCTGAGGCGTAAGCTCACAGCCACCACCTCCTTGTCCAGTGCTGCTCCAACAGCGGTCCTGCCATGTACGAGTGACTGCACGTCCAATGCCAGGGAGCGGCTCTAGGTGAGGGCTTCTCTTTGCAAGGAAGGCCCTCGTCCCAGCAGCTTCTGCTTCCTTGGAACTCTGTCTTAGGCCCTCTCCTCTGGCCCCTTCTTGAATCTCTTCATATCTGCTTGTGGACCCAGGCGGGTCCCAGAACAGGGACCCTGTTCTCAGGACACACACTCCATACCTGGCTCTCCTTTTTTTTTTTAAATCGTTTATTTAGGGGCTCATACAACTCTTATAGCAATCCACACACACACCAACTGTGTAAAGCACATCTATACATTCATTGCCCTCATCATTCTCAAAACATCTGCTCTCCACTTAAGCCCCTGGCATCAGGTCCTCCTTTTTTCCCCTCCCTCCCCGCTCCCCCCTCCCTCGTGAACACTTGATAAAATTTTTTTTTTGAATTCTTAACACTTTATTTATTTATTTATTTTTAAAGATCATTATATTAGGGGCTCATACGACTCTTATCACAATCCATACATACATCTATTGTGTAAAGCACATTTGTACATTCATTGCCCTCGTCATTCTCAAAACATTTGCTCTCCACCTAAGCCCCTGGCATCAGGTCCTCATTTTTCCCCCCTCCCTCCCCACTCCCACCTCCCTCATGAGCCCTTGATAATTTATAAATTATTATTTTGTCATATCTTGCCCTGTCCGGACAGGGCTCTCCTTTCTTAGTGGTAGTCAGGCCCTTCCCTCTGCCCCCTTATGTGATCCCTTACATCTCAAAGGAGATTGATGTGAAATACCACTTAATCCTGCAGATTGTATCATGTCTCATTAATAGAACTTTAATTACATCCTGCCGAAGTAGTATCCAACCTTTAACTCTTCCTCATCAACACCATGTTGTTGTTTGTGCTGACCTGTAGCAACTGCACAGTGGCAGGGAACACTGCCTGGCTCTGCGCCACCCTCACCGGCTGCCTCATTGTGGCAGCCACTGTGCCAGTGCACATTGTCAAGACTCTTCCTCTTTTTGGCTGCCCTGCTACTTTACCATGCGTGATGTCATTCTCCAGGGACTGGTCTCCCCTGGCAATATGTCCAACGCACATGAGACAAAGTCTCACCATCTTCACTTCTACAGAGCATTCTGGCTATACTTCTTCCAAGACAGATTTGTTGTTTTGTCAGACCATGGGACTGAGTCAGGCACACCTTAGTCTTCAAAGCAAGCTCCCTGCTGTTCAACACTTTAACGAGGTCTTAGGCAGCAGATTTACCCAACACAATGCCTTTTCATCTCTAGACTGTTGTTTCCATGGACATTGATGTGGACCCAAACAGGACAGAATCCTTGACTACTTCAATCTTTCCTCCCTTTATCATGATGTCACCTATTGGTCCAGTTGGGAGGATTTTAGTCTTCAGTACTTTGAGTTATAATCCATCCTGAAGCTGCAGTTCTTGATCTTTATCAGCAAGTGCTTCAAGTCCTCCTCACTTTCACAGCAAGGGTGCATCATCTGCACGTTGCAGGTTGTTATTAAGCCTTTCTTCAATCCTGATGCCACACTCTTCTTTATACAATCCAGCTTCTCGGATGATTTGCTCAGCGTACACATTGAACAAGTACGGCGAGAGGATACAACCCTGATGCACACCTTAACTGATTTTAAACCAAACCATGCAGTATTCCCTTGTTCTGCTCATGTATAGGGTCCCGTTAACATTCTATAGGTAATTACATCAGATCACAACATGGGGATAATTACTTCATAATGGGAATTGTGGCCCAGTCAAATTTAAATGGACGTTGTAAGGACAGCATTCAATCCCCGACAGCCGTCCTGACCAGTTTCAGGGCCCTGGGGAATGTGCAAGGTTGAACCCTCACACTTCTTTGACCTTCTCCCCACCCCTCTCTCTGTGGGGGGGGGGGCAAGAAAACGCTGGTAGCCCTTCAGGCCCAGGGAGAACAGCCTCCCAGCCATGGGCACCCATGGTGGACTCAGGGGCAGAGGTTCCTGCTCCCTGGAGTGTATGTTTGGTGTGTTGCTGACCACAGATTGGATACCTCTTGTTAGCTTCTTAGTGCATCGGAAGAAACACAAACATGTCAATATACAATTAAATCACCACTTTCAAATACAGGGGTAAGTCAAAAGCATTCCTACAACATAGATGCCTTTATCGATAGAAACCGCTTATGGCTGTGCTCACCCCTCAAGCGCCACGTGGCAGAAGGCAGCGCGTGTCATCCCTGCGACATAGAGTATGTTAGGGCAGAATGTTGCGCCCTTGGACTCAAATCGTGTCCTTTGAAATGGTCTTTGAGTTTGAGGAAGGGGCAAGGTTGGGCCAGTGGAGTGCCTGGGGTGAGATTTCCGGAAACATTTTAAGAAGGCCCTTGCTACCCTTGGGGGTATACATATGACTATATATTGTCATGTGCTGTATGCACATATATACATATCACTATGTATATACATGTCCTATATACTCCTATTTACATATGAGTACTATATTGACATGTCCTTACACTTTGGCGTTCCTTGAATACACTGCTGGGTAGGCCTATAGCAGCAACCTTCCTCCTAAGAGTAGAAGCCTATAATTCCCTGCCTCTCACCTGTCTTGTCTTGGTCTAGTGTGGAGCAGTGCTGACCTTGGAGACTTCTTTTCTCCTCCTTGTGCTCCTAGGAGTTCACTGAAGGTGACAAGGTTGTTTTGTAAAAACAAACAAACAAACAAAACCCCATAGATTTGAAAAAAGTTCCAGTTTTTTTTGGAGGGGCACCCCCTCATATATACATCATCACAATCAGTTCTAGTAATCGCTTCCCCTCCTGCATTCATTGTGTGCTCTCCAGGTCCCCTCACCCTTCTCCACAGCCCCGATAAACTGTTGCCTCCGTTATTGTCTCTGCTTCCACTCCTGTGCTTCACAAACTAGGAAACCAACAGAAACAATGAAAAACAAAATGGCAAGAAGAAAATAATAATCTAAAGCGAAAATACAAATAAAGAGATTGAAAAAGACCACCATTATGGATTTC